CTCCAGCGTGTCAACCTCACCACACAGCTTGCTGTCATCAGCAAACTTCCTGAGGGTGTACTTAATGCCACTGTCCATGTTGCTGACAAACATGTTAAATAGCACTGGTCCCAGTACCGATCCCTGAGGAACACCGTTTGTCACTGGTCTCCACTCAGACTTAGAGTCATTGATCGCAGGTCTCTGAGTGCGACCTTCCAGCCAATTTCTTATCCACCAAGTGGTCCATCTATCAAATCCATGTCTTTCCAATTTGGAGACCAGGATGTTGTGTGGGACAGTGTCAAAGGCTTTGCTCAAGTCCAGATAGATGACATCAGTTGCTCTTCCCTTGTCAATTGATGCTGTTACATCATCTTAGAACTATTCATTTGTTGAAACTGAAAAATAGAGTTGATTGGCGGAATTTGGTTTTGTCACCTTTAGTATCTTGATGAGCTCCTCCTGTAATCACAAAAAGGGTTTGTTGTATTTGACAACTAGAAATTTGCATCTTTGGTTACCCTTGCGGAGACAGTGTGAGCTGAGGCAGTGCAAGACTGATTCTTCCTTGTTCTTAAACATAAGTATTGACAAGATTAGATCCATGAGGCAAGGTGGCTGATATTCATTCTGTGTCTGATCTGTAGATATCGGTCTTTCAGAACCATTGGTTTTGCCAAAACCTGGGTTCATATTGAAGAAAGCCTCTGAAGTGGATGATTTTTAAAATGTTTTGGGTTTCTGCATGTGAGTATAGCTGAACATACTAGAATGAGCTTTTCAAGTGTAATTTTTCTCTTTTTAGGTGAAATGGAAGAAATCGGATGTCAAGTTTGAAGATCGATTTGACAAATATCTTGACCCATCTTTCTTTCAGCACAGAGTATGTATTGTTCTAGGACAACCTTACAAAATATCTCTTCAAAATGATTGCTTTAGTTCAGAAGATGTCAAAGAATTTTTGGATGACATTGAATTTTTGGATGTCCCAGATGTTCTGGGGCAATGAAACAGGCAGGTCTGTTTCATTTTAAAAAAAAAATCCCTCATTCTTAAAACCACAGGGAGGTTTTAAGTAGTAGTTCTGTTGCTCAAATAGGATGGCTCCAGTTTTTTAGAGTACTTCGGTGAATGTGCAGGCAAGCTTCAAGCCTGCAGCAAATACAAGGCAGTTCAAGAAAATACATTCACATGATCGGGAGCAATGAAGTTTCAGGGATGCAACCATATGACTTGTAAGCTGCATAACTGCAGTTAGTCACATGTACACTTTTTACTGAAGTAAATGCAAAGCAAAAGGCATTAGCCTAAACCAGTTGGTGATATCAGTTGTGATGGTCTAAACCTGTGGTTTTAATCTGCTTAAGTGTAGTATACTGAACGATACTGCTTTCTGAAATTAGGGGGTTTGGATTCTGTTTGGAGCTTGCTGAAAACCAGAAGGTGTGCTTATCAGAGGCAAAATAATGCTGCTGCACATTTTGGTCTTGTGCAAAGCAATGGTTTCTTTGGCTTTCTGGCTGTGAGTGTCTCTTACTACTTAAACCTCTTCTCTAGGAAGGCGGCAGGACATTGTGTTCCTTTTCTTTTACTAAGAAAGCATGTGCAGCCAGTTGTTCAAACTTTGCTGGTGCTTAACTAAGCTGTGATAACTTCATCATGAGCAAGCTGGCTGTTGAAAAGCTTTATGTATGGTGTTTCACAGGCCGGTTTTAGTGAGTCTTTCTAAAAATGTAGTATTACTTACAATATGGGCTTATTGTCACTTAGCTAGTGCTGACAAGCTGTTTTGCTAGGCAATGATTTATCCTTATTGCAACAAATTTGAAACACATTTACAGTTCTAAACCTTAGGGATGTGTTTTCTTTTTGTAGATTCACTGGTTTTCAATTTTCAATTCTTTTATGATGGTGATCTTTCTGGTTGGCCTAGTGTCTATGATATTAATGAGAACTTTGCGAAAAGATTATGCAAGATACAGCAAGGAGGAAGAAATGGATGATATGGTAAGATCTGCATTCATGCTTTTTAAAATCGCTTTTATTAAGGCTTAGTGTTTTCTCTTTGTACATTCATTCTGTTAGCAGCTCTGAATGGCTTTCTTCAATTGGACAGAAAGCTGCCATATGTGTGTCTTGAAAGTGTTACTTGTTTTCTTTAGGACATGTTCCTAGATTGCAACCCAGAATTCTGTCTGTAGTCACTGTGTTAATGTTCATATCCACACTTGGGTTAAACGAGGTCTATTCTGAGTGTGTAATAGAAGCATGTGTATACTCCTAAGCACTTTAGAGGCTTTTAGGGACAGGGAAGGAATCTGATAAATTTTACTGCATCATACGTTTAGGTAGTAACTTTTGTTTTCTTCATAAGCATCTGAAAAGTAAGCTTTGCTCCTAGATTTGGTGCATTCAGGAGAGAAGACATACTTGCACTTGAAGTTGTTTTGATAAATCAAACCTTTAGTTTATGCTTAGCTCGTGTATTTGTCATTAATTGTCATGACTAGACTTAAAATTTTTTTGTTGTTCTTCCTAGGACAGAGATCTAGGTGATGAGTATGGGTGGAAGCAGGTCCATGGAGATGTTTTTAGACCATCCAGTCATCCTCTAATATTTTCATCGCTTATTGGTTCTGGTTGTCAAATTTTTGCTGTGTCTCTTATAGTCATTGTTGTTGCAATGATAGAGGATTTATACACAGAGTAAGTATATTTGTGCCATGCCTTCTGCATGTAGATGCTTAAATGAAGAAAATAATTACAAAAATAAATGTTCTAACTGGCTTGGAAGAAAGTGTTTTGAGAGTCTTTATCTTTAGATCAGATATAGTATTCAGAAGGACTCTTACAAGTTGTAATGAAACTTTGTCTTGCTCTTACCATGTGAGTTGGTCTCCTTTAATTTTACTCTTAATGCTTGCTTTTTACGTGATTTATTATGAAATTAGTTTGTTGTCTGCAGCATCACAGGTAGATTACATGGGAAGTAAAAGGTGCATATTTCACTTATGGTTTCATCTGGAATGGCAAGATATTACTATATTTCTTACCCTATTTTCCCTGCTGTGTCCTGTAAAGACTGAAGGAGGAGTGTGCTGTTGTGAATAGTTCTGTTTACTGCTGACAATGCATTAAGCCAATCTTACCCACAAGTCTTCTCAGGAATGGAGATTTAATTTCTTAAGTTCTTTCGAACAGAACTACTCAGCCTGTGTTGCATGTAAAGTAGGTGGGCTGTGGTCCTGACTGGAGAGAATTAGTTTAAAACCAACAGATAGTACTGAAGTTTAAATTTGACACACCGCTTGTGGTTCACCTAGTCTTCCTTTACCTTTTATGTTTGAGATTTTTAGTGTCCTGGATGGACTTGATCTGTTTCTGTAATGATCATATTTTGGATACCGGGGGGCTTTTTTTTTTTTTTTTTACAAGGACTTTGTTTTAAGTGATGATTAAAATTTCAAGTCTGTTCTATATTCCCTTGAATATCACCTCTATTGATTTTAACAAGTTGTAGTACTTCTAATGTGCCACTAGAGAGAACTCTTGTTCCTGAATTTAGCTGCCTTTTAGTGATGTGTTTAAAAAGCCAGCCTGTAGTACCAGTATCTTGGCATATTTTCATGTTTCATATGGTGATATTTCCCCCTTGTGCCCCATGGTTGCATTTCTGGATAGACTTGCATACACAATTTTAATTGTACAGCATGTCAGCCCTTTCAAGGAGGGAATGAAACCATTTCAGAATGTTTGTGCACTGTAGGGAAGCTGTAAGTTTGTAATGGAAATTGTAAAATGTGTCAGAATGGTAATTTTTAAAAATAAATGTGCACTTAGTCTTTTATTGCAATAGGCCTTTATATCGCTTTCAAGGTGAATTTAATTCTGGATGTGTAATGGAACAATTGACCAAATCTGGTGCAGACAATTCTTATGTTTAGGAAAATGGTGACATGAGTGAAAAAAGGCTGTAAACCAGAATTACAAGAATGATTGCCTGTCAGTGTTGTTCAGATCTGTAAAACTCTTAGGGATCACGCAGCTGATGCCAACTAAAAGTCTCTCAGTGAAATTTGGTCGTGTCAGCTATTAATTTATTTATGCTGGTTTGTGTTTTGAGAAGCTTTTCCATTAGAATATTTGAAACGTAAGTGAGCAAGCTCAAGAATAGGAAATTTTGAGATAATTGTAGATTAACATCTTCTAGTCATTTTAAAGATAGCCCGAATTTACATGTGTCGCTTCAGACTGTGCATAGTCTTCTGGGGTTTTGCATGTGTTTCTAAATTGCCTCAAGTTAAGAGAAGTGATAAAATTTGTTTCTGTCTAACCGTTAGCTTTCTAAAGTGGAACTATTGCTTAATTTTTTTTTAAGAAACAAATGTTAGCATAATACTCCTTTAGTATGTGTGACCAGCAGGTGTATTTGCTTAGTTCAGTCCATGCAGTCATGGAAAACGATTGTACTAAAGGTTAGTTCTTTGAGTAGGGTAGGCATCCGGTAATGGTTCATCAAAAGCCAAAATGCCAGTAACCTGGAATCTGACAGAACAACTAATTTGAAGAAAGTACGGCAAACTGGCTGAAAACCTTCTGCTGCTTTTTGCTATTGAAGGCTGGCAGAGGGACATGGGCAAACAGCTCTATTCATGAATAACATTTATATCTTGCTATTCTTAGACATGATTTTTTAAAATGTATTTGGGAGATGGCTTTGTGATTTAAAATTATTAGCTTTGCCTGTAAAATCTCAGAAAAAATTATGCCAAAATGAGAACTCCAACATTTAATGAGGTGATAATTTAAAAATTACTAAACTCTTCTGATTGGACTACTCATGCTGATTTGTGGCTTCATTATAGTATTTATAGTTTCTAAATCAGGTTTTCTAATTTTCTGCAAGATGAACACTTTCAATCTTAAAAGTTAATTTCTGAGGGATGGCAGAAACATCATTCACAATCTTAGTATATTTTTATTAATACTAGCCTTTATATTAAGTAAAGAGGACCTTTTATCTGCAATAGTTGAATCTTACACCTAAGTTCTTTATGCACAAGGTACACACATCCAAATGTCAGAGTATTTTGATCAGGGGTGAGATTTTATACCCCAGTGAAAACAAATGCATGTTAGAAAAGAATGTGGTATGTCAGAACTCTTTCTCCCAGATTGAATTGGACTTGGCCAGAAACTTTGGATACAAACAGTTCTCATTCTTATGCAGATTTTACAATTTAAGCACTTTTAAATTTTTACATTACCTAAAAATATTAACTTCTGCTAAATTTATATATTTTACTGTAATCTTTTGCTCTAATACTGTTTGGTTTTCTGTTTCATTTACCAAAACATCACTTCTTGTAGGAGAGGATCGATGCTTAGTACAGCTATATTTGTTTATGCTGCAACATCGCCAGTGAATGGATACTTTGGAGGAAGCCTTTATGCTAGACAAGGAGGTAAATTGTTTTCATGTCTCAGCATTTTCATTACATTGTTAAATAGAGAAGTTATTATTTTCAGATCTGCACCAATATAGAAGTGTCCTCATAGAGGTAGGTCATTCAGATGGAATCCATTAATAAACAGAAAATATTTTTAGTATATTTAACTTTCATGTTACTTCCTATTCAGTATTGGCTGCATTTTCTAACTCAAGATACTGAAGTCTTTCGTTAGTTTAAAAGTAATAAGAGAAAAACCGTTAACAGTTGTATCTTATTGCTTGTTACACTCTTGTATGTGATTGTTTAGCTCATGACATCTAGAGAGTGTAATAGTCTCTCCCTCTTCTGTAACATGCTGTTAAACAGCTCATGTCATCTTCTCCAGGTGACTCCTCTATAGGTACCAGGGGGTCATGTTTACTAGCATGGAAAGGATGAGTATACAGTACTTACTACACCATTAATTTTGAATAGGGAAAACTGTTTATAGCATCTTTTGAAGAAGGTTATTCTACTTTCCAGTATGTACTCTGCTTTATACTTAGCAAATTCCAAATGAGTGTCATTAGCAAGCAGAAACCAAATAAAGTTGACATAACAGATTTGGACAGGCTCCGCACTGTCCTTCTGAGTTGTGACCAGTTACATCCTTGCAGTCCGCTAGCTTCGTCCATTCTCTATGCTGCAATAAAAGAGTAATCGATATCTATGATCTTCTCCAGGGCTTTACCAAAAATAATACTGGTAAGTTTGCAAAAGAAAATTTGTATCTTTTTAGCACAACATACTTGTTAGTATTTGGTCTTAACTGCACTCTAATTCGAGTTTGAAGGTTAGATGTTTCTTTTCATGTGGCTTGTGTATAAGCCTAGTGATTTGTAGAAAACCAGATCTAAGTGAGGATTGCTGTTCTCAAATGTATCATACTGTATAGTTAAGCCAGATTTTAATTTTTTTTTCCCTGCAGATCAAACATGTATCAAACCATGAAATGCTGCTTATGTTGGCTTGTGGTGAAAATACATATCATGTTCTTGAAAAGCATGTGCTGATTTTCTGACTGTATAGTATAAATGCATCTAGGGTGTATTAAATTTAAATATAGGCAGGTTTTAAGAGCATAGAAAGTAAAGGGAATACAGGCAGCGAAAATTCTTAAGGTACTGCCCAAGAGGGTTTTTTTTTAACTCCTCGGGGAGCTCTAAACTTAGTAATAATTGCTAACAAGTGTTGCTGTTCCCTTTATGTCTGCCTTTTAGAAATCTATTTCTTTCTACCTTTTCTGCTGTTGAAGATGTCTGAGTTCAGTTTTGCTGTATATTAAATGCTGTGCATTTTGTTTTATACCAGGGATAGCCAGTTCCTTAATGCATCCTGAATGTATGAAGTCAGCTTAGTTGGGTCGAGACAACCCGGAGCAGGTGCTGCCTGAAAGCAGCTGTAGTGCTGAGTTGTCTCGGGAGCAGTGCTGAGCTCTCATGTGCTCTCGGGGTGTGAGCAGGCTCTGCACAGGGCCAGCTCTGCTATCTGTCTCTACTAATCTGCAGCTTACATACATACTTACATTTCATACCCTAGTTTCTTTATCCAGTGTAGTCAGCATATGCTGTTCTTCAGCCGAAATGTTCTCACGCTGTATTCCTTTTCCTGTCTGTTCACCTGGTCTAATAAAGTGATTAATGTGCTGCATCTTGTGATTTGCCAGGAGTCAAATGAAACTGTTAGTTGACTCTTGGCTCTCGTATTACTGTAGCATGTTGTTACTACTTTCACCTTTTTTGGGGATAAGGAGTCAAACACCTAAATTCTGTGAGCTTGCTGATACAATATATTTTGTTTAAAAAGTTATCTCACCAGTCCCATTGGAATATCCCTTCTTACAGGAAGGCGATGGATAAAGCAGATGTTCATCGGAGCCTTCCTCATTCCAGCAATGGTGTGTGGAACTGCCTTCTTCATTAACTTCATTGCCATCTATTACCATGCTTCAAGAGCTATACCCTTTGGAACCATGGTGAGTCATTTTACTGGAGAATTTAAACTCCACTGTAGACACAGAAAAACTACGTTTTAGTCTAAATACAGTTGTGAGTCATAGCTTTAGCTTCCTAGTTAGAAATCGATTCTGGGAGGGGTTTAAAGTGCTTCAAGTATAATTCATTTTAATCACAATAGCAACAGCTGCTGGATGCCAACAACAGTCTTCTCTGCTTAAAATGACACTTCTGCTTTTTATTCAAGGTTAGTGTTATAACAACATGGGAAGCTAGCAACTTGAATTTTCTTCTGGATGGCCAGTGCAAACTGGTTATAAGCTAAAACGCAATACGAAAGGATTCCAAATCATTGCAGTCAAGCAGAAAAAATAAAAATAAATGATCAGGCAACAGTATGAGATGAGATGTCCTGAGGAGATCTGGCTTTACAAAAATGAATTGCTGTTTTCACTTTGTGAAGTGGTATTTAGTATCCAGTTATGGTCTTGTGTCTGTGTATTAACCATGTACCTTGAAAAACAAGTGCTGGTTGGATTACTTTCTCATTTAATCATGATGACTTTTCTTGTTTCTGGTGGCTTTTGTCAGGATTTTTTGTTGTCATGGCTTTTTCAAGCAACCTCAAATAACCTTGTGAATACAATGTAGGAAATAATCACTTGGCACTTTGGCAGAATTTCTGTTTGAGCTTGCAAAGAGTATTATTTGAGAGCAGAATTTTTTGAAATATGCGCCATAAAATTGCTTTTTCTAATTTTGTGCAGTAGCACCGATAACTTAAAAAAATATCTTAATACAGGAAAGCTTGTTTGCTTTTCAATGTCTATAGCAAATCTTGGGATTTAACATTTTTTTTTTTATGACTTCCTTCCTTGCACGTCAGTTTGCAATGACTACTCAAACATCTCTGTATAGACTTGGATTTCCTGTTAGTTTACATCTACCACGAAGTGAAGCTTAGTATCACAGGTTCTGTCTTACAAATTGTATTATTTGGGATATAATCAGATTCAGTATGTGACTAAAAATAAGAACGCATTGTTAATGAATGAAAGTGAAAGAAATCATAAATGGTAATAAAAAGAGAAACAATTCTCAGTTGCAGGCAAAGGCTTTCAATATTTTTTTACTGATGGAGGAGTCCTTACTTTATGTGTGCATTGCTCGTTCTAGTCACCTCCTTATTAGCAGTATTTTCAATGCATGCCTAAATACCAACTTTTTACATTGAATTAGTTGTTATAAAACCACTAAATGTAATACCAAGCTAAATGTGTTTATAAACCGTTAACTTAGTTTTTCTGGTTTTCCTTGTCAAGAAATTAGACTAAAATTCTATCTTTGGATATGTTTGTATTAGTCGATCAATGCCCCAAAGGAATGTCGTATTGTTTTTTTCTCTCCTAAGAAAGCAGCTCTATACAATACTGTTGTAAAAGTTTACAACGTTGATCTTTGATATGTGCAAAGAGGTTCTGTTTTACTGCTGAGCAAGCATTTATAGTACCACATTTCTCACTTGTATTCCTATTTGGAGGTCAAGAATGGTGAGAGAAGGGAATTCTACCTGTGCTGAAGATTGTCTTGTAAATCTGATTTGTATTTTAAGATCGTGGAAACATGTACATGCAAAAGCAAATGGCAATATAAATCTTCAGGGGTCACTTAATCAAGCTGTTAAGACTCTTTATACACGGTGATTTTAATGATCTCAAGGTTTTATGAAAGTATTTGAATCATTATGACTGTGGCAATAAAACTTCAGTGGAGTTAGCAGACTTTTAGTAGGAGCAGGTTATGAATCAGAAACTTCATCAGAATAAGCAATATTCTAATGACTTCAAATCAACTGATAAAACTGGTTTGTAGACGGAAATGAAAATTATTTAAAATTACCATGTTACGCTTCAGGTGGAAGTCCCTGGGAGGCACTCTGGCTTTATGGATAAGATACCTTTGTGTCTTTCCACCTTTGTTCTCAATGTAGAGAAGCTTCCAGAATTTTCTCGTGCCAAACTGCTGCTTTCTTGGGGAAATAAAACCTCTGCCATCTAAATGTACTAGAACACAGAAATTACTTCCTTTACCCTTGACATGGCTTGAAACCACCCTACTTGATGTAAATTGCTGGCAAGAATTACTATCTCTTCTTGATTATTCTACTTGACTACTAGAAAAAGCAGAATCTGACTCGCTGAAAAAAGTCTCTGAGCCAAAAAAGGTTGCTAAGACACTATGCTTAAATATGACATCTGTGCTTTGCCTGGTTTGCACCACCACTTCTCAGTGAACCACAAGATAGTCTCCTCTCTGTGACTTAATTCCTCCCTCCAGACAGATTTTTCTGTGGAATGTAGTCAGGAGCAGCTGATAGTGTCAAATACAAGACATTCAAGCTAATGCACAGTTGCTGCATCTTTGATCTATCTGGTATCTGCTCTTCTACACTTTGTCTTGAAATGCTCAAATTGATTTGGCTCTTCAGGACCTTCATACACCTCACTGTCATTGCAGTCTGTTTTGAACTTCAAATCTTTGTTCACCATGTATAACTCATTCCTGATGTTCAGGATCTCCTTGAAGATGTGGCAGGGACTGGGAAGATCCAAGGCTTGTTTCCGAAATCATTGTTCAGTCTTGGGCCTCTGCCTTTAGCCCTTTTGGATATACATGCAAGGTGTCTTACCTATACAGTGACAAACCTTCTGTAGTGAAATAGACCATGGGCCTGAACAAAGGCTTAATCTCTTCCCTAGGGTATCTTTCAGGTGCCCTTCTCTTCAAAATGCAATAAAGAATGTGACAGATTTTATTCAAATGTGAGAGCTTTTTAAAACTTAATGGTTTAAAGCTTTCAACTCCCTAAGGATTTGAAGGAGATAGAGAAGTCTGGGGTGTTTTTCTCTCATTTCTTCACCTTTATAGAAATGCAGTGGGTACTGTTCAATTCTTTGTTCTTTTGGAGCCCAAATTTTTTTTTCGGGAGTGGGGGGTGGTGGTGGTGGTATTTTGTTCATTATGTGCTGTTACTGGTGAACACAAAGAACTTATGAAGGTGTTTTACACCTTGACTTACCTTCTGCTGATGCTTGTCAGTCTTGTCGGTGTATTTATCAAGCATCTTTCTATTTTATTGTGTTTGAATTGTATCCAAAATATGGAGCATGGGATAATTAAAAAGAATTTTGAATAATGGCAAGTGAAGTGACCTCTCCATATATGTTTTGAGGAGTGCAGTGGTAGTTCTATGCAGAAATACTAAGTAATGCTGAATTTCTACAGAGTACGGCGTGATTGAATTTGAAGGGACCATCTTAATTCTGGCATTCATAAGTTTTGACTGCTTATGTTGGTGTATGTGTGATACATAATTTAAAGATTTCCATTAAGGCTATACGACTAATGTAATATTCTGACTGCAGAATCTGTGCAGCTCCTATTAAACTGTTTAAGATGTATCATTTCTGTTTTGTTTGAGCAGTAGGTTCCTGTGTGGCTAACATTTCCAGTATGCATTTTTAATGGTGTATCTAAATAAGGTTATGCACGCTGAATTTCTCTTGGGATCGAGACCCTAGTGTTTTGCATCTTTTATACCTTGTTTAAACTAGAAAAAAGTGTTTCATCTGACAGATAGCTTAATCCAGGCTGCAGCCATCCCTGACAGCTTTAAGTTGATGTGAGTATTGGCTGCCATTGGAAGAGGAGGGCCTGGTAGCGCCAAAGGTTTTCATGCCTTGAGCCAGATAAGGAAATACACTTGGCTAAAAATAGAAAAAAAATCTAGTTACATACATTCAACAGAGTGCTTCCTCAGATTGCTTGAAAGTGATGGTGGAACCCTTGATCAAAAACCTCATTTTTACTGAAAATAGACACAGCTTAATGCTTCTGCCTAAATTTTCAACTTATTCCCTAGAGCAGCACCCTAAATTAACAACTTGGTTGTAGTAAAATTAATAACACTTTATTTTGAAGCCTTGTTTTCTTCTTCTATATAATGTTTGGCCAGATGATGTGCAGAAAACTGTTCCACTGTGCAGATTCAGTAACCTCTGTGTGGGAGAGAGTCTCATGACTGAGAGTGCAGTTTTGATAGCTGACAGGAAAGATCAAGCTGCTGCTTTGACAGTTAATTTTTATTGCTTTTCTTCCTTGTGCATTAAGCAGTCAAGGCACCATAGCCTGCCAGTAGCTGTTTAATATTAGATATGCTCATAAAAATTTTAATTATCACCTTTGAATGAAGTTTAATCTACAGTTGTCAGAAAATATGAAACACATGGCACTAGAACATAAATTGTATCCCTCTTGACAATGTCTCCTTTCAAATAAGGAAGACTGAATTCTTCACATTCAGTCAAGGGCAATAGAGTATTCTTTCCCCATCAAAACAAAGCAAAAAGGGGTTAGAAAGAATGCAGGCTTGGTGAGGTTGACAATCTCTTCTATGGCAACCAAAACCTGCAAACTAAATCAGATACTTGCATATAAATAATTTTGTATAACAAAAATGCAACAGTTGAAATAGATGAGTTTTAATGTACTGGCTTGGTAGAAAACCTCATGTAATTTGTCTTCAGTAATATGGGTTATAGAGAACGTGTGCTTGTTTGCTTGATGGAAAACTGCATTTGTAGATGTAGTAGATTTGCCTGTTTGTGTAATTTGTGTTTTCTGAAGTGGTAGTTCAGAAAATTCTCTGAATTTCTCTTGGCTGATGTTACAGTAATACTTCCCTTAAAAGGCTCGTGAAGACCTGACTTTTTCTTATCTCTGCCTGTCACGCAACAGCTATTATTGGGCTTTGGGTTTTTTAGTATGTTACCGGTGATCTCTGTAGGGAGGTGCTTCTGCAGGATAGCAGAGCGCATACGTGTGTTAATCCTGCCTTCCTTTACTGTTTGTGATGGTGAAATTGAGGCCAGTAAGTGCCTGAGCTGCTTTTGCCATTGTAATCTTGTTCGCTGAAACCTTTGAGGCAGAAGTCTCGTAACTTCATCTCGTTTTCAGTTAAGACCCTTGTGTACCCTCCTGCCCTGTGTTTGCTTCAGTTTGGATGTAAACTCTCTAGGTTTAGATATTGCCCAGCCTGCATCATTGCCACCCTTGCCACCTGTGGCAACAGACACTACCTGTTCAGTTTGGGAGGGAGGCAGTGTCCTCACCTCAGATCTGAAATTGAGGAATGTGCCTGAAAAGGCAGAAGCTAGAAGAGTCAGCTATCTCCAGTCATCCCTCATATACAGAGAAGACTATTACTGCCAAGAGTGAAGAAAGCAATTTTCGGGAAGCATCAGTCTGAGCAGGTAGACTACCTTGGAGTCACCACAGTGTGTGCTGATTCTAACCAGTACTGGTTGTGTTGGTCAACCTACTAACACTAGCAGGTTGCTGTTACGAGAGTGAGGTTATCTCAGAAGACAGAACATTCACCTCTTCATCAGCTTGAACATCTTGTCAGAGACAGGTGTAAGTGGGAGGCATGCCTGAGCCTGCGCTATGGTCCATCCTTGCTTGTTTAGTGGGCCTCTTTTGCACTGCAAAATCATCTCAGATAATTTTTAGACTCCCGAGTGGCTCCAGGAAAAAAGGAAAAAAATGTTCTTCAATTCCAGCTGTCCTCAGAACATAGCATAGCATTAAAACAGGCAGTTCATTGTTTAACAAAATATTGACTTTACCTAACGCTGCTTGCTAGTACAGTGGAGGCGTTAGATATTCTGTCTAAAATCAGTCTGGTTTTTAGCCAAATGGTTAATAGAATGGAAGATGCTAGACTATTATCAGTCATGCTTTGAATGATCTGGTAATGAAACCACAAGCAGACAGCTTTTCTGACAGAGGCCAATTACAAGTGTGCTGGGGACAGGTTGGCAGTACTTGCTGAAGCAAGGAACCTTGGTCTGTCTCAGCTTGTTTTATGCAGATAAACATTTTAGATTTCAAAGCTGCTGCTGAGTCAAGTCTCCTGGACAACGTAGCAGCCAAGCCCTGCTGGAACAAGTTGGGCCTTCTCCTTGCCCACCTGATTTGAAGCCATTCAGCTTTGCAATTAGTGTCACTAGAATGAGATGCTACTGACTGCCTTTTTTTCATTTGGGCATTTGCCAGCTGATCAGTAATTAGGCCTGGATGTTCCTTGCTTGGTTCCCTGTCCGAGATTATATTCTTTCCGTGTGGATTCCCGATGGTAGATGTGTTTTGCAAGACCAACAGTTAGAAGCTGCTAAGTTTTGTTTCAGGTGAGCTTGAAACCCAAGGCTGTTCCGGGACAGTTTCTTTCTGCCGTAAAGCAATGGCTTCACTTTCTACCACTATCCCCAGTCAGGGATAATTTCTGAGATCGAGAAAGGAACCTACAGACATCTTGATAACTGCACTATAAAAGACAGCTGCGGCTGGATGAGCGGTATAGATCCCCTTCATCTACCTCTGTCTGAGCTTTCTACCTCAGGTTTGAAGCCTACCTGCCGGAGCACAATGAACAGGGGCCACCCGACACACCCGGACATCCTTGCCAGGCAGGAAACAGAGCAAGCTCTTCTTGCAACTGAAAATGATTTCAATAGGTCAGCTCGGAAGCTCTTTGGATCCTGTCTAAGCCTTAATTCTTGAACGTCTCTTCTACCCGCTGCACCTAAAACAAGCTGGGACTTTTTGGTCAGGATTTTAGTAAATGTAGCACTCAAGGTGGTGTTCTTTGTTTCCGGTACTTTTTGACATTTTTCTTTGAAAATTCTCATCTGCTCTGCATCCATTAAGTGAGTTAGTTGTATACTTCTCCTGTGACTTATTCTTAGGCAACCTCAGTGTCCTACCTAAGACACTTCGAGTAATGGAAGAAGATAAATGGGAAGTACTAAATATGTATTAATTGTCTAAAATCTGCTTTATTATTGGCAAGTGTAAATACTACTTAGTTTTTCCATATTTACCACTGAAGCTTCATATTTTAGTGGCTTGTTATGCAGTTCATTAATAACCTCTCCTTAAAGGTGTACAGAGCAGTCTGGACAGTGCTTCTGCTTGTTAACCACCTGTTTGGTGTACCCCTTCCGTAAAGCATGAAGACTTGCTCCATCTAACCCCAGGCAATGTTTTCCATTCACATCTGGCCTAGGCTAGTAATGATATACAAGTCAGTAATAGAGGGATAACCCACTGACTTTTGTCAGATGTTGCCTTAAACTGGTGTGATTGACTTAATGCAAAGTTTGTGTTGAGCTAATGTGGTGCAGCTCATCATATACTGAAGCCTAGTGGTTCTTGCTTTTCAGCTGCTTGCAGTAAATCTAACATATGTGAACAGCCTTTATTTATCCTAGAGTAACAAGGCTTAGACAAGTCAGTGTGTGGCTCTTAGACCTGGTACTCTGTCCATTGTTTGGATTAATAGCTGTCATGGACTTTGCATCCTGATGGAGTAAAAGAGGAATATAGCTTCTTTGCTTGGGAAGCACCCAGGTGTACACAGAGCCTCAGGCAGCAGTACTTTTAAAATGCAGTATTTTTAAATGTTTGCATAGAGAAGGTCACAGGGTCAATATTCAGAGCTATGGTTATTGCATTACAGACAACTGTTCTGTCTTTAATTATCAATATCAAAAAGTTAAACTGTGTAATGCTAATTCATTTTGTGCTAAAGAGTTATGAGTAGAGAATGTCTTGCTAAATACTTCTCACATTTTCCCATTTTGGAAGATAAAAGTATGTTGCCTTTAAGGAGTAGCAGAGTAGAGCTACATACATATACTGGAAAAAAGATGTTTCATGATAAAATTTTAGGGTGACTGTTCCGTTGGAAAGAGATGGAACATTGTCTTGACTTTGCTGCATTGTGCGTAAACCTAATGCCTATATGTAAGTAGGGCCATTGTGCTTCTAAACTGTGTATCTGTGCATACCAGCGGTCACTTGTGTCTCTGGCAGTCTGTGTTCTTAATTACCTGGTTAGTGGATAGCGGACAAAATTGAACTCAAGATTTTGATTCGTAGCGTTCTGACATGGCTTTGCAATTCTTGTTTGGGTTTCTTTTTTGTATCAGATTAGAAATTTTGCACCCAGCAGTCGTAGTTTTGTATGCAACCATCTTAACTGCTAGATGTTAATTCCCAGGGATAGCATGCTCTGCAAAACTTTAAGAGAAGCTGGCAAAATTTTCTGTGAAGTACTGTGAAGATTTCCATTTCATTCCTTTGCAATGTATTGACTGTAATGATTAGATGATAACAGTAAAAAAAACTGTATTGGTTGTGTTCTCTCGATTGATGCAAGAAAATATACTTATTAATATTTATTAGGAAGTTTCTCAGGAAATAAATACTTCCGTTTGGTAAAATAGATGTATGTTGACTAATGCTTCATAACTAGGAGTATGATTCTACAGCAATAACTACGAAGGACTAATATATGTGGAGTGTGTTGATTTGTCATCTTTTGTCATCTTATACCTGTTTTTTTAGTTGTTATTTTTTGCTTACAGGTGGCAGTGTGCTGTATTTGTTTCTTTGTCATTCTTCCATTGAACCTCGTTGGTACGATTCTTGGCCGAAATCTGTCAGGGCAGCCTAATTTTCCATGTCGTGTCAATGCAGTGCCTCGTCCCATACCAGAGAAAAAATGGTAAAGACAAGCATGTGTACTAACTACATTATTCACTTCAGTACTTTTTAAAATGACTTTTTGTATGTGATCATTAAAAGTTTTTCTAGACTAAGTTGTTTTTTTATGTTTAAATTGAGTTGTGTCTAGAAGAACACCTCTACTGAAATGTTCTTAATAGGATTTTTCTGTTGAATAAAAACACCAAGTGCAGTTAATGGTTAATGGTTGTAGCAGACTTTACAGTCCTGGATCACTGATTCACATTTGGCCTGAAATGCTCTTCAGTCTCTTATGTAAAAGGGATGGTCCCAACCCAGTTCTTGTATGGGTATCTTGAAACTAAACCTTTCCTCTTTAGTTAATGCCTCTTACAGATTTAGGATTGAATGTGCCTTGGAGGCAGAACTGTTCTGTTTAATGGTCTCCATGTACAAGCTGAGACATACTTGCAGGGTGATGGTGGGGAGAAGTTTGCAATGCTGTTCCCAGTTCTCACTTCTGTTCATGGCACAGAGCCTAAAATATTCCAGGTATACAGTTTGAGTTGCAAATAAGCCTTTATTATTCTTGAAGTTAATATAAAGGGGTGGGTGTCTAGCCTTAAAAAGTAGACTTGGGTTTTGGAAAATCGTGAATGCACTTTTTCTTATTAATTTAATTCTGAGTTGCAAGCAGCAAGCTATGGAAATGAAAATATCCTCAGAGGACTTTTTTAATAGATTTTTCTTGCTTTTCTTTCCATTCCTCTGAGCAGGGAAAGTGAAGGGGGCACTGAAACGTGTACACCCGTGATATCCAGGAAGTGCAGCACACTTAGTCTCTTGTTAGTGGCAGATTGTGCAGCTCAGACACTAGGATTTGATTTATACTGTGACCTGTATCTTGAGAATCTGACGGATTTTTCTGGATCAGCATGACAGATAAAAAGAAATAAGATACTTCTCTTGAAGATGATGAAATTGCACACCATCGAATTAGACAAGTCTCCCTATAAATAATAAAAGAAGCTGCAAATTAGATCACTGGTTACTAGCTAGATTCAGCATCATTGCAAGTACTGCGCAGAGGTCACCTTTAGTAAATGACAGTATCATTTCCAGGTAGCTGAGTATTCATTTTTGGCCATAGGCTTGTTACTCAGTATAGCATTAAAAGTAAACACTGCTTCTTAATTATATAACCATTACCTTGCAAAATTTTCTTTGCCGTTTTTGCTGTATTTGTAGCCATCAACAGCTTTTAAGTTTTCACTGCCTTCATTGAAGGCTAGTGGATGTTATGGGGCTTGATTGCTTATGCCCTTTTTGGGCAAGAGAGATTCCTTCTGTAGCCTTTAAGGCTGATTAAATGCTTAACCTTATGACTGTAGGTGGTAGGCATGAGAGTTGTGTTTTGTTTTAGCTTTCCCCAAGAATAACTCCTTCTGTCCATACATATGACATCTTTGGGGGAATCTTCTTTCTAATATGCTGGTATGAGACAGAAATGTTCTTTTTAGCATGTCTTTTAAATAATTCTCTGCTATATTAATTATCTTGTTATGTGTCTTAATAAGTTTATAAATGAAAGATTAAAATTGTCCCTAAACTAATGTTAATATCTTTCAGGTTTATGGAGCCAGCTGTTATTGTTTGCCTAGGTGGTATCCTCCCTTTTGGATCGATTTTTATTGAAATGTGAGTATGTCAGCCATTTGCTAATTTGATTGAGAAGTATAATAATTCAAGTTCAGTTACAATATCATCTGCATATTTTGTTTGGTCTCTTCAGGTATTTCATTTTTACTTCATTCTGGGCTTACAAGATCTACTATGTTTATGGCTTTATGATGTTGGTTCTGGTTATCCTCTGCATTGTGACAGTTTGTGTGACTATTGTTTGTACGTATTTCCTGCTAAACGCAGAGGATTACAGGTGGTAAGTATTGCATTATCTGCATAGTCAACCAACTCGTGAGAGTTTTATGGAAAAGTAATGTTCTTCAGTCTAGATGGGTCTTTTCAAAGTGTCACATGTCCAGATTTTAGATGTAGGGAATAAAAATAGTTCTTGGATCCTTTCTGTACAGGGGCTTTCTCTGTGTGTGTGCATCTGCGTATGCCTGTATGTATCTATAAAAAAAAAAAAAACAAACCAAACCCAAAACAAACAAACAAACAAAAAACAAAAAAAAAAACCAAACACAACAACCAACTGTCAAGGCACACAGGAATATGAAGAAGGATCATCACTTGGTATCAGTGGTAGCTGTTGCCCGTAGAAGCTTTTGTCACTTAGAGCAGACAACATGTAGATTTTGTTAAATAAGCCTGTAGAATCAGCCTGCTTTATTTTCGTGTGTGGGTTTCATCATAAGGGAGATGTTCCACCCCCTTAACCATCTCTGTGGCTCGGTGCTGGACTCTTTCAAGCAGTTCCCTGTCCTTCGTAAACTGAGGGGCCCAGAACTGGACACAACATTCCAGATGCGGTCTCACCAGGGCAGAGTAGAGGGGGAGGAGAACCTCCCTCAACCTCCTGACCACACCCCTTCTAATACACCCCAGGATGCCATTGGCCTTCTTGGCCACGAGGGCACATTGCTGGCTCATGGCCATCCTGCTGTCCATATCTGATGACTATGTGTGTTTACTTTCAGGCAATGGACAAGCTTTCTTTCTGCGGCATCAACTGCGATTTATGTTTACATGTACTCTTTTTACTACTACTTTTTCAAGACAAAGTAAGTGGTAGTTTTCTTGCTTGAATATCAGATTACTGTATTGCCAAATAAGTTTATTGAGAAAAACTGGGGAAAATACCTAGCATAAATTCCTATCTTTTCTTTTTCAGGATGTATGGCTTGTTTCAAACATCGTTTTACTTTGGTTATATGGCAGTATTCAGCACAGCTTTGGGAATAATGTGTGGTAAGTTTCAAATACATTGACAGCTTCCTGTCAGAATTTTTCAGACTGTCATGTTTCTGATTTTAGCTCTGTGGTTTTGATGTCTACAAGTGTGTATGTCTACAAGGTGTGCTCAAAAAAGCTTACAATCTTTAAAAAGAATCATAGAGTTCTCTGCTTATACTTGATTCCTACCTAATATAGAAGATTTCTGTGGATTGTGTCTTCTAATAGGAAGGTAATTTTTGTACTGTGCAGAGAATTTCACCCTCAGTGCAAGCTTGAAAGAGTCATTATTTGGCAAGAAATTCTGCAAAATAAATTTCAAATTGAGTTCATGCTAGGATTTTGTTTTGAAATTTTTACTGTTGCTCCAAGACAAGGAGCTAGGTACACCCATTGAGGCATTAATGGCATCGCAGTGCTGATGACACTACCGTCTGTATCTTGAGGCATGTATATGAGAGTGACCAGAACAGAAAGGACTGATGCTTCAGGATAGCATTTGAGAAATAAGTATTGGAATACTCACAGGCGAGGAGAGTGCAAAGTGCACCTATATGCAGCTGGATTTCATTGCTTTTTAAGATACTGTTTTGACAGATGTGTAGAAAAAAAAACATAGCTCTTGGCACAGAGGTCATCTGATAAAGTCAAATATACTTGTTCACCGTTATTTTTATCCTTTGCTGTATGACTTTCAGAAAGTGCTACTTGGTCCTTTTGCACTTTCCTGTGATGTTATTTGCTTTTTGTGTGTGATCCTTATTTAGTACTTTCCTCCTTAGGAGTGAATGAATGGTCCTATAGACTCTAGTGGAATGATGTCTTTGAGTTAGATATTTGAGACACATGATATCTTACAGGAACGTACTTTCTGTAAAGTATACATTTCTTGATATCCCAAGAGGGTGGGTAGTTTCACAATGCTCTATAAAAAGGGGAGGGAAATGTCTCCTAACTGCTGAGTACCTGTTCCCCTTTTCTCTCATACAATCTAATCTTGCCTCGTCAGGTTCTTGGCACATTACACAACTTCCCTGCTGTTCTGGTAGTCTTGCAGCCATTTTTTTTTTCTTTAATAGGCTTATACTTTTCAGCTCTAATCTTTTCTTCTTGAAGTGCTCAGGCTGGAATTGATTAAAATGTATATGATGCAGAAGCCAAGCTTGTCCACTAGTTTCTGTAATTAAAGTGTTTTTTAAAACATGGAAAAGGAAGATTGTCAACTGTTTTCTTCTTATGTTAGGACACTACTTGATGGAATATTAGAGTAAAATCCAAATCTATTTAAAATCAGACAATATTTTAACACGTTAAACTTTATTTCCACAGCTCTATTGAGTTTTCTTTTTGTCTTTTTAAGTGTATTGGAAGAGAAGCTGTGAAATTCCTTTTTACTGAGAACTCCCATTTTCAGCATGTGGAGGGAAGAAAAAAAATCCCCTGTCAAAAAGCATTTGTCTGGGGAACTTGCTGCCATTGAGGTCTAACAAAGACATTTGTGTTAAAGAATTGTGCAGTGTGCGTGCTACTGACTGTATGTCTCCTATGAAAAGTGTGTAGAGCTGTACTTTGGAGGTTCACGCGAATGGGCATGTTCAGTATCGCGCAGCTGGACATCAGACAAACTAGTTAGGGCCCAAAGCAGTCACAGGGAAACTCTCTTCAGGCTTGTGTCATCCAGCTCTGGTTTTAGTGCCTGTAACAATGCCTAGTGAACTCAAATCCCTAATGTAGTGGGATGCTTTCATCCACAAAGTCTGCTGCCCTCTGCAGAGCATCTCAGTTTTGGGACTGGACAGTAGGGAGCCCATGAGAACTTCCAAACCTTTTGAGCTCCTCCTGTTTCCATCTTAGTGACAGAAAAGAATAAAACTTTCTCCCCAACTCAGTGGATGGCTGAGGAGCTGGGTAGTATAGAAAGGCCTCTTCCAATACCACACTTCAGCATCCAGATAAATTAGGTACGATTGAAGGGCTTTATAAAGAAGGTCCTGTGCTTACAGAGTCGCAACTGTAGTGAGTGTTAATTGGTTTGAAGTAATAGATGGGAATTAATCTTTTTCTGTATTGTGGTTGCTGCTCTTCACTATTTTAAGTTTTCTTTTTATTTAAAAGGATGTTGTTCTGCTGAAATATGCTTGCAGTCTAATTCTGCTAAACCTATATAGGTCATTACCAAGTTATAAATAATCTGATAAAGTGTGTGTTTAATAAATAAAATTATTTCCTTTACTATGTTTTTTTTATTCAAATAAACCCACTGTCCTGCATTTATTTTAGGAGGACATCCTTTAGCTCGAATTGTCTAGGTTTCCCCCTCCCTGCCCCATGTTTTATTCAATGCCTGTGAAGTAGCCTTGAGGCTTAACCCCTGCCTTGGGTATTGGCCACTAATGGCCTTCATGGATAAGGCTCCTGCGATTCAGAACAGGTTATGGTTTGTTTATGGGGTTGAGAGCTTGTGGTCTCATGTGACTGCTGTTCCCTACTCCCCCCTCACTTCCATCTCATGCACACATTTTCTAGATCTCAAATGAAACACAGTTAATGTGTTGTTACTCCAAATCTCTGTGATGTCTGGAATCACATCACTAGAGAAACCCTCGGAGAACAAGTTCTGGAATGTATCTGAGTTTAGCAACTAAAATGGGCATTGGATCTGTTGGCAGATTTAGCAGGTGAAACATGAGGAGTCTTAGAACAGGAGTCCAGTGCCATTATTTTGTCCATTTACTGCTTAAGACAGAAGATGAGTCTCTTGACAGGCTACAGAAGAATCTGTGTGTGCTCCTGTATGACTCCAAGCTTGCATAATCACCTCTGCACAGCCCTTGCTTGGGTCTGAGTGCTGTACTGGTCTCTCCTTGAACTGTCAGGCCTTCCCCCTGCTGTATCCTTAGCACACTTAATGCCTGCAGGCAGCAACCCGACCTTGTGTGTGCTGTATTTGTTTTAATCGAACTCTACTTTGTCCAAGTTAGTAATACAAATCCCTCATTTGCTGGCCAGTGGAATGGTTGTCGTATTTATACAGCTTGAAATACTATGCAGCACAGAGGCTGACTCCACAGGCTCTTTACCACTCCGATAGCATTGGAACGATGCATCAGGTTTGCTTTGTGTAGATTCCTGATTACATATGGATGCTGGGCATTTGGTGATCTAGAAACCAAAATTTTCTGAGAGTTTAATGGCTGACCTCATGAATTACACAATCAGTCCCCAGGATTTGATGAACTCTCCAGGTTCTGAGTAACTCTGTGGTCAGCAATGCTAGCTGCAGATCCGTAGGGCCTTAATTTCTAAAGGCAAAAAAACCCAACCTTTCTGTTTTTCTCAGAAAATGAAGTTTTGGCACAAAACTTCTAGCATTGGTTAGGCTTTTTTATTTAACATGTCTTTGGCAAGTCTGGTGCATCCCAAATCATCGAAAATGTTGTTTCATGCTTTTTTCTGGGCTTTTCTATATTGCTTCAGGGGAGCAAAAATAGCTTTCATGTTCTTTACTGAGCATCCAAACATTTGATATTAGGACTCCTCTGTGGCGAGTTACAGGACCAGACTTCTCTGTCCTTTTCTTCCTATATTTTTTGATGTGTTGTTCTAGCAATCTGACAGCAGTTGTCTCTAATTCTTTCTTGATTCTCAACTTCACTTCTAACCCGAGAGTTAGCCAAAGTGACTTCCACAAGGCAGGTTTACTCTCATTTTGTTTGGAAGAGATGAAGGTATTCCCTGTGGATACTGTAAGACAACAGTATTTAGTAAGCCTGGCAAACCTGAAGTTCTGGGCTTGACCATGTAGGTTGCTGAATCTGTCTCTAAGAAAAGGCCTTGGTCCAGTGCATTTCTTTCATTTTTCTGGATGTGCCTAGTCCTGCAGTATTTTGGGTTTAGCATAAACTGTTGCCCCTATCAAAAACCCAGTGACCTGTTCTTTTATTACTGCTGTGACAATGCATACTCTGCTCATGACTCTTACTAATTTGAAAACCACAGGTTGCAATTTCCTTTAACTACTAACTGCTACTAGTTTAATCTTTTTTGTACAGACCTCCTTGGAGTTTAAGACTCCTGGGATGGGGATCTATTATTATTCGTGCCTTGTGGGAAGGAAAAAGCCATCTGCCAATAAAACACTCATCCAGAAGGCATGTAACTTACAATAAAAACCCGCCCTCCCATCCACCTTCCCTGCAGAGTGGGTGATTGTATGTTTTTTACTCTCTGTTCAGAAAAAGGGACCCGGTTATTGGCAGCAGTAGGGGGGCTGCTATATTTATCGAGGCCAAGTGAGCATGGCCTCTTGGTAAGATGGTTTAATGGATTTAGATTGCTAGACTAGGGGAGTTCTTGCCAGACGTTCACTGCGAGCATGGATAATTAAAATCTGAGAACAAGTATTGCAGGTAAATAATTTTCTGTGTGCAGAGTGCACACTTTATGTGACTTTCTCTGTTGAAGTGTGTGTGTTTTATGTTGCTGGCTTATTTTGATGATCAGCTCTCTAACATATTCAATGTTTTCGGTTTATTTTGCAGGAGCTATTGGTTACATGGGAACAAGTGCCTTTGTTCGTAAAATCTACACTAATGTGAAAATTGACTAAGGAAATAAGAAAATTGAACTATGGATCAGTTCCTGTTTTCATGGGGATGAACTTGCACAACAAAAAGCGCGAGAAGAGATTTGGGTTTTAACACTGGGCACTATATGGGTCTCCATTTTGTGGATGGCTTAAAGTAACATCTATTTCATTGATCCTAGGTTCTTACTGACTGCTTTCTCCAACTGTTCACAGCAAATGCTTGGATTATATGCAGTAGGCATTACTACAGTACGTGGCTAATCTTCCCAAAACAAAACAAAAACAAAAACAAAAAACCTAGCTCATTAAAGATGAATAGACTAGCTCTCTTCAGTGAAGAGGACAAACGGTTTATTTAAAGCATTTGTTCCATTCAATAAAAAGAGGGAAACTTGGCTGCTAAAACTACTTGATTAGTAGTCTTCCTGGTACTTAACATTTCTAAATTATGTAAAAATGCCGTTCCAGAAAGATTACTCTTCTGATTTTTACTGCCATTGCCAGGATAGAAGGTATGTTTTGTATTTTGACTCCAGGTGCTTTTTGGTTTATTTGCGATATCAACTATACCCGACACTCATTTGTTTAAAAAATAATTAAAAAATATATAAAAAACCCCATATGCATGTAATATATCAGCTGTTGTTCTAGTTGGACCAACTTCCCTTTATTTATCTTTAAAGTAATATCCAGCTACATCTTAAATCCATCCAAAGAAAATACAATCTGAAGACGGGATGTGTTCTCTGCAATGCAATTTACTGTACAGTTAGAAAGCAAAATGTTAAATGAAGAGGATTGTTTGGTTTTTTAATAAACATTTTGAGGTTTAGATTAAAACAAAACCAAGATTTTAACTGAATGTCTAAAGTGATTCTCCTTTTTCCCAAGTTAGTCTTGCATTTTTTTTTGGTTTGGATTTGAATGAAGATTTTCCTTTAGACATTATACAAGGGGTAATAAGTGTATATAACATTAAATAATGTAACTTAGGTGTAGATCCCAAATGTATTTGGATGTACAGATTTACTACAGAGTACTTTTCTGATGATTCGGTGTAAAAATGTGTGAATTTGGGTGGCTTTTTACATCTTGCCTGCCATTGCATGAAAAGTTGGGGTTTCTTCACAATGTGTATATGTCATGCTTTTCTGTTCTATTTCCTTTCTCAAGCTCTTACAGGAATTAAATTTGTAATTTAGAACATTTTCATTTTTGTTAATCCTGTCTGGACACTTGTGTAACATCAAAAGCACAGTTGCTTTAGAGTGTTCAGAAAACAAAAATAAACTTTTCAGACAAAAATGCTCTGATTGTGAAAATAGATGACTTTGCAATTGAAAACGTTTGAAAGGGCAGTACTGCTGAACGCCAGTTTCTGTATACAATGTTAATGTGGTTTCCAAATATCAAAACCCCGTGCTTTGAATTCAGGATTTACTTACAGCTGTGTTGCACAGTACAATTCCAAAGTCGATGACCAGCCCCAAAAGATTCTTCTTGGCTGAACTGTTTGTGGTGAAATCTCATTGTGATCTACCTAGTGTACCGAGAAAACTGGGGGTAAGTGGGGGAGGAAATAAATGGGCAAATAAAGGTTGAGCCTTTCTAAGATGACTGTTAATTATGCACTGTATTTAGCTACAAATGTCCTGAATGTGTTTGTGACAGATTTGAGAGCCAGTCGGCTTGATTTTTTTTTTCTTTTGTTAGGCATCTGCCACATAGGGATGTTTTTATCAGTGTGGCTGTCTGAAATAGAGCACCTGCCATGGAGAAGGCTACTTCTTGAATTTAAAAAATGAGCAAAGTATTTGTGTTGATTATCACTGTATTGTCTCTATATAAAAAGTACTGATAATGCAGTAGCCACAATGAGAAACAACCGTGCTTTGGCAGGGTCGGATTGGAGGTGAGGGGAACTGAACTGATAGGTAATAGTGAGAAGCAATGCCTCCTGCTGTATATGGCTTCTGAAAAGTGTTTGAGCTTTCAGCTCTGATTTCCTTGGCCAATTTTAACCAATCTGTCAGAAAACAGTTTTGCTTCAAGTGTCTGTAGCTCAGCACTCTGCTGTTTAACAGAAGATAATTTTTTTTTTTTTTGAACTACGGGCTGATTTTAAGATGAGCTTATAAACCGGGTCAACAGTTAGTTTTCCTTTTTTCCAAAACATGGAGACTTAAAGCAAAGAATGGGTTCTGTACTAGCTCTTGCTAGTGCATACAGCTGTGGGAAGCCCTCTTTTCATCCATGTTTTTCTAAATCTGAAGTGAGAAGCCATTATCCCCACACAATAAATACATTAAGTACTCCGCCGAAATACGTTCGGGTATTTTTTAAGGGAATATTTTGATAATGGGCCTGTTCCTCTATTTAGAGCACTGCTGTGTGATTAGTCTATCAGAAATGTCACTAAACTGTGTTTGAATTTCATTTAATCACTTTTTAATGCCATAGAATGGTGGGCTGCCTACTTGCTTTCTCTATCCTCTGGCATTATTAGCTTTTGCATATCCAGATAGGATTGTATAGCTTTTAAAGTGAGATTGAAAAGATACTTACTGCACAGGCATCGCTTTTGTTTCTTCAAGCACGTCCCTCTGGAGAAGTACTGTGTTTAAATAATTCACATTTTTATACTTCTACCCTAGCACATGAGCAAGTTGGGGGGTTGCTTCATTTTGCCCCTTCCTTTTGGTTTATGGAGGAGTGCGAAATATGACCAGTTTTCAACAGCTTGTCTTTATGATTGCTGTTTGGGGCAAGGCTATTTGCCCCCCAAAAACTGTGGGTATAGCTTGAACCATCTTGCTTAATAGAATTCGGAAGCTCTCTGCTTAAATGATGTAGTCCTTCCTCTTTTATGGAAGAAATAAAGCTCTTACAGCCAACACTCCTCTTTCGATGGTTGTTTCTTAGGTGTTTCTGGTTCTTGAATTCAAGCTTTTTGATAACTCTTCAGTTGGCCGCCCAGTGCTTCTCTTCCCTCTTGTGGTACAGAGGCCAGAGAATTGGGTAAATAGTTGTGTAGCAATAGCCGATCTTGATCAAATGCTTTAGATAAATACAATTGTAAATCTTTTCAATTGAGTCAAAGTGCATATAGAAAGCACCTCTGGTACTTCATGTATGAAAAGCGGTGAATGCTGGATTGGAGATAATGGAGACTGCAAATAAACATTACATTATGCTCTTCTCTTTTTTTGATGTCTGAATGTTTTGAAGCAACAATAGTTGTCTATTAATTCCTCTCCAGGATTACATTTCAAAGTGTGTAAAGGGCACACAATTAAGTTATTTTCTGTATGATAGTCTAGATGTATTTCTTTAACAAATTTCAGGTTAAAAGAAAGAAAGAAACAAAAAACCAAACCAAAAACCTAATACTTTTTACACTTTCAGTGCTAAAAATGGGTAAAAATGATAGCACATTCCTATCACTACCATTACTGCAGAGGTAACACAAATGAGAAAGTTACCATTTTGCTCTGGCTTCAGCATCATCAGCATCCAGCCAAATTTACCCAATGACGTATATATACACAGCTTCCCTGAAGACAGCAAAATTGTGTAACCGTGAGTGCATCAGCAATTTCTCCACTGGAATGTGTCCGAAAAGCCTAAGCTCAGGAAAAAACAAGTCTCCTCTCCCATCTGTGGATAAGTAAACCGAATAGTTGGAGCTGGAGTTCAGGGTTCCTCTTATCTTGAATTAATTCTTAACGGTGCAGCTTGTGGTTTATCTTAAGAGTCAGTTGGAACTGTAGGTTGGAGAAGGGTTCCATTTTTCGATCCCTTGGATCTTTTCTAGCTAAATGCACCGTGGTAGCAGCAGCCTCTCAATGGCTATTGGTACTGCTGCTGTCTAAAACAAGTGTCTCTTACCAGGGTTAGCACTGAAGTAACAAAAGCCTCTGCTATTGTTGGACTTCTGTTGGAATAAAGCCACATTTTAAAATTTTCAAGCAGCGCATTTATGGCTTGCATTCTTCAGAAGCATCTTTTCCCCAAAAAAATTGTTTTCCAAAGCCCTGCAAAGGAACATTTGCATTTTGCTAAATAGCTTCAGTGAGAAAATTCTCATTTTTCCGAGGAGACCTCTGCATGCAAGTTTTCCAAGTAGTTCCTCACATCTCACAGTTTTATCCAGGAGGTGCTTCTTCAGCTGGGGGAAGGGGCTGTTACAGTATTTACTTTTATAACTAATTCTGTGGTTCTGAAATTTTTCTTCAGTTTTTGGGTTACGGAGGGAAGGATGGGAGAACCCGTGAATCTGGAAGGCTTTGTGCAGTTCCAGTAAATTCAAGCAGTTCTTGGAGCATATCACTTTAAAGGGCAGAAACTCAGTTGGGAAAAGGGTAAGAAAAAGTTGGGGTTTCTGGTGGACTAACCTATTTCAAGTACTGTTACAATGTTGTTGCCCCCAGCCTCGTACCAATTACAGTCTTTTTGTTTTCATCAGTGTATTTGCCATGGCACAAGGCTTTTGCAATAAACCAAGGATTCGTCTGTCATGAGCAAGGGAGATGATGTTAGTTGCTGCCAGCATTTTTGGCTTGTTGGTAGGCTGATTTTCTGACCAGCTCCTAGTAATGCTGTACAGAACGATATGTTGAATATCTCGGGGGGTTCTACAATGCTGAGGCTTTATTTCTTATGAAAACCGAACCCAGAGGAACTTTCCTTACATTCTAGACGGAAGATCTCCTTCAAGACCTTGGGCTTGGAGCATTCCAAAACATAACTACACAAGTTCATACTTGCCTTCAGCTGGTGTCACGTGACTATAGCATTCCAGAAACTACATGCATTTTTAGAATTGAGAGTTTATGTGCAATAAGCAAAATTGCAGAACTGTTATTTTAGCGTTTTCTCTTCTACTATTGTGAGACATGCTTATCCATATGATGCAGTAGTTATCTTGATAGATTCCAGTTCACCAAAGCATAGACCTAAGCCCTATAAACTTGAAATGCTATGCTGGGTCTGGGCCAAAAGGTCCAGTCTCTGGTAGTTCTGGCTAACAAGCTGACCAGCCTGGGAAAACATGCTATAGTTAGGCACAAGGCCGTGAACTTTTTTTTTTCCTGAAGACTCTGCGTCACAAGCTTTAACTGTTTCTGAAAACTTTTGAGCGCTATAGAAACTAATGCGTTCTGAGAAGCTTCCAATCATGGCTGAGAACATTGTGCGATACTGAACTTAAGGAAGCACTTGTGGCTGCTCTTTCTCATCTCCCAAAGGTTTGTCTCGGGCATTTCAGAGTTGTGTGACATACTAAAGCACTAGACAAGGCATGGTGGTTTTCTGGGCTACTAGAGATGTAATGCTCCCTTTGAGTTCATTTTATGCTATTTTTTCATTTTGAATCGCTAGTCTTGGCTTAGCTGTATCACTTCATGGGGCTGAGAAAAGTGGATTATGTTATTAGCTTAGCGTGAGGCTCTTCCTGCTTTGCTACAGAGGAGTAGCTACAAGAACAGGATGGAAATTTTCTCCTCGTTTTTCAGCTAGTGTCTGGCCAGAAGTTGGCAGGTGAATTAATGAACATTACTTACTGTTTGTTTTAAAAAGAGATCTGACAGTTTTACAGAGACAGACACCTGTTTACCCATAAGAATTGGAGATTTTTATTATAAAGCATTGAAAACATGCTATTAGGTTACTTAAGTTCTCCATTTGGACTCTGCAGAATAATTTTTGGTAATATGAACTGCTTAGCTGAAAGTTAATTTTGTTGAGAATTTTTTTTCTGTTTATCTCATTACCAGGAAGGGATCAAACACCCACCTCTGAATCTGAAATGTACTACATTTTTTTTATGATACGTATAGTGAAATGAATAACAAAAAAAGGAAATCAGTATTCCTGGTTGTACCAATCTAAAGAGCAAGATAAAAGACGAACATATTTTAAAGTATTGCTTGCCTAAAGAGAGGAAATACCTGCATGTTCTGTGCCATAGCCAGGTGTGTGGTTTGGATGAAGATGTTACTACAGATAAATCTATGTACAGAAATCCTGTGCAGAAGCTGTAACTAGGAAACTTCTCCAAGGCAATGCTTCATGAAGCAGCATCTCTACTTTTTTTTGAGAGATTCATTAAATTCTTCCCACTTGGTGAAACAGCCTAAACTCAGGTAGTGTATGCTGCTAGCCTCTGTAAAGCATGCTTGTGCGTGAACAGGTAAATGCCATTATCCCATCTTTGTCTCATAGCAGAGGCTTGGAGAAATGTTTTTACTTTCCCAGATCCATTCCTTTGGGGAAAGAGAAAAAAATATTTAAGACCGATTTTTTTC